AAAAGGGAAAAAAAAAAAAAAAAAAAAAAAAAAAAAAAAAGAAAAAAAAAAGAAAAAAAAGAAACCTTAACGAATGATACGAGCGAGCTTGCGCTTTCGAGGATATAGAGGACATGAAAATCTCTTGCGTATTTAAGTACATGATTATTATAATAAAATTGATCTTTCGATTAAAACTGAATAGACTGCAATTATCTTGAGCGTACGCTTAGCTAATATTATGAACACATACCCTCGTTCTATTTGTTGCTGATATTTAATGTATTACACGTACGTACATACTTACATATACATACACTTACACATTAAATACTTTGCAAATGAAACTTTCGAACAAAGACCTATGCGTGCCTGTAAAATACGTTCTTTACATTGTCTCGTATTATGGGCACATACGCACATTTGTTATTATAATTTCCTAAATAAACTGCTTAAAAACATGTTGCGTTTTTGCCTAACCATATGAATGATGTAATTGCATGCGCGCATGCGTGTAAACATATAAATATAATTTTATATTTTATAATTATTTTTTTATATATTTTTATTTTAATTGTGAGGAATATTTGAATGAATCTCTGTAACATTTTTCCTGTTACAATATATAACTGTTATAGTGATATTATTTAACATGATTATATTGTATATAAAATAAGATAAATTTTATTTTCGCGAATAATGAATTTTTACATTTTTAAGATTTATTACAATTTTTTCTCTTTATTGAAAGACACATATAATTGATATTGAATTACATAAACTTTTTAAACACTTTTTAAATTAAAATTGAGTCATATAAATATTTAATTCTTCTTCTTAATTCTTCGAATTAACGTATTAGGAAAGAAATTATGTTCATATTTGATTCTTCTAATTAAGTTATTTTAGGAGATGGTATAGGATAATCATCTTCATAATAGATTTCCCCTTCACCTTCATATTCATCTTCATATTTCAAGAATTGTTCTGGTGCTATTGATAAGTCCTCTGAACACTTATCTATTAGTGAATCTACAGATATCTAAAAATTATAAATTAAGAGATTAATTTAAAATTTTTTTTAATTCTTGAATTCAATATTTCCAAAATAATGTAAAATTAATAATGCAATAATAATTATGTATTATGTTTTAGATAATATACTTGTATATTTTAGATGTGTTAAATTAATTCTTCGAAATTCTCTTAAAAGTGATATTTATAATATGATTATATACAAATAACAATTATTTAAAAAGAAAATAAGAAGAAACAACCTGCCATTTTTTAAAATAAATCATAATAGATGTAATTAAATGTATTTTAAAAATTTTTAATACATGTTTAGATATATACATAGATTTCCAAAATCTATGTATTATCCATCCATGTTGTATGCATAGATATATATAATTATAAATTTTTTGTACACTTTCAAAATTTAAATTCAATAATTTTCTAATAATCTTAAATAATGTAAGATATCACAATTTCCCTTTTAGATAATTAATTAAACGATTTAAAAAGATACCGTGTTAATAATATCGTAAATAAATAAAATGAATTATAAGATACAAGTTCTATATAATTCTTATTAACCCTTAAAACTGCAAAAATGGAATAATTTAGATCTCTTACAATTGAATATTTCTCAATTACTTTTTTTTAGAAAATTTATTTTTTCTGTATTAAAATTATTTTAATATTATTTAAAATTAAATTAATTTTGAATATTCTTTTTCTAAAAAATTTTTAGAAAAATTTGATCTTGATCTCTTGAAAGATCCGATTTTTTCTTTTAGATCATTTTATATAAATTTGCAGTGCTAAAAAATTAATTATATATATATATATTAATTATATATATGTTCTTACCTCCTCTTGCAATGGTACTGGTTCAGGAGGTAATAAATCAGGATTGTACGGTGTGATACAACGTGCACGCCACAACGCAATGATACCTTTTTTCAAACGAGGTGGTTCAAAAGGTTCAGGTTTAACTTCCGGTTTTGTAATCTCAGTCCCTGTAACATCCGTTTCTGCTTCAGTTTCTATCGCAGTAGGTTCTGGTGATGGCGGTTCTGCTACTTCCTATATCAAAATTATTATGTCATGCACAAATATAAAGAGAACTATTGATATCTTAATTAAATCAAAAAAAAATTAAATTTGGTTTCCTTAATCATATAATAAATTGGAAAATTATTCTATCAAGTTTTGAGAAATTAATTTTATCACCTCGGTAGGTTCCTTTGTCTCATCATAATCAGGATCTTTCACGTGCACATAGTGTCCATGTTGCATGCAAGCATTTTCGAAAGTAAAGCATCCTCGACCATAAGGCTATGATTATATATTTTCTCAATAATTTCTTTAAACAATAATGTTTTAATAATCATAAGATCATAATTTCGCAAAAATTTCTTACCAAATTGAGTTCCCAAAATCCGTGGAATCGATGTCGAGGATGAATTAATTGTCCAGGTCCTTGCATGCGATCCTTAATCCACGTACCCATAAATTTTGTATTCGTACTGGCGTAAAGATAAGATCCCATACCGTGTCGAAGATTTTTCTTCCAAGATCCCTCGTAAACGTCCCCATTTATGTAGTAATACACGCCAAAACCATATTTCGTGTCACGTTTCCATTCGCCTGCGGAACACGAGCTAATCTGCACACAGTGTATCAAACATTTCCTTTTTTCTTTTTGTATAGCATAATTATTATAATTTGTAATGTTTATTTTCAAAAAGATTTATATTATAGAGTTTTAAGTTTTAACTCTATGATACAAGTGAAAAAAGGAAATTATAATAAGCTTTTCAAAATGAAATCATACATTTTTTTAATGCATATTGTAATAATATAGTGTTTTATAAATAAAAAAAACCTTGAGAGATATTTGTTATTATTTTCTGAACTAATAATTTTTCGATTTATATAGTGTAATATTTTTTTAGAGATATATTGATTTGTGTATTAAAAAACAAATGATTTTATTTTAAAAAAACAAAATTGATCTTCACAAGTTCTCTATGCGTTCACTTACAAAAAAAATTAATAATGCAGGTATATCAAAATGCAGAAACTATTCAACTTTTATTTAAAATATTTCTTAATGTTATGAAAAATATAAAATTGTATAAGATATCCAGTATATTTTTGAATCTAAAATTAAAAAAAATCAAAAAATTCTTAAAAAATGATATTTGAAACAGATAAGTATAAAAATGATATGGAAATGAAATTTTTCTGATATTTATTTTTTGCAGTTTAAAAACTATATTAAATTAGAAAATTCCAAAAAATAATGTAATGTAATGATAAAAGTAAACATGTGGTTCGATTAACATTTTTTTACCCTCGTATCGCGTTCCATCAGGATACCAAAATGTTCCTTGGCCGTATTTTACACCTTGCCGCCATTCGCCATCATATCGAGCGCCATTTTTAAACACGTACAAGCCTCGAGCGTGTCTCAATCCCTTGCAATATTGACCGACGTACATATCGCCATTTGGAAGCAAAGCTTTGCCACGGCCGTGTCTGTCCCCTTTTTCATTTCGTTCACCTTCATATAACTATAATTATATTATACTTTATTTCATTATTCATTCCATTTTTCTCAAAATAAAAAGAATTTTTTAGCCTTAGTTCATTAAATTTTATATTAAAATAACAATTTTATTTGAATGATTAAAATTTATGGGATATAATTAGATCTGCAGAAAGATTTGGAAGATAAGATTAATAAACGAATAAATATGTAATTTTAAAAAGGATATTATGGAGATTAATATAATAATCTATTATTATTTAGAATAAGAAGTATTTACCCCTAAAGGATTTGCCTCCTCTTCTCCTCTTTCACCGATTATTTCCGGATTTTCTAACATTTTATTCTGTATATACGTATGTCTTCTATCCCTTTAAGTTACATATAAACGAATTTCTTTAAAATTGATTCTTGTTTTGTTACTTTTTGTTGACTGACATTTGACGCAAGTTTGGTTATAAAATATTAAATCATTTGCATCTTTCATTTTTAGTTATTATTATTATTACATATTAATTATTTGAAAATTTATAAGAAAGAATGTAATTTAACAAATAAATAAATTTTTATAAACAATTATCTTCATTAATCGCTTTCAATACCATTGCATGTTATACAATATGTTATTACAATATCAAAGTCTCACATTTTTTTTATAATTTATATACAGTAAAATAATTAAAAATACGAAATACAATATAATTTTTAGTCTTCTCAATAGTCAACAACATTTCATACACTGAGGATCAGTAAAGTAGCGAGGACAATAGCACGATTTTCCACATATATCAGTGATACAATAACGTACGCATGATGGTGGTGGAACTAATTTTGGTGGTGTACATTTAGGAATTGGTGGATCAGGAGGTGGTAAACAATTTACAATGTACAGGGTTGGTGGTTTTGGTGGAGGTTCTGGTCGTGGCCTACATATCTAGAAATAAAAAAATTAAAAAGATAGGATTTTATTGTGAAATATATTTTTGAAAATAATATAATATAAAATATAATTTTAATTTATACTATATATATAACATACGAAAGGTGGACATGGAGAAGGACAACAACATTTTGAAGGTGGATATTGTTGCGGGGGTGGACAGCCATATTTCGGGCAATAAAATGGTGAAGGTTTGCAATGGTAACATCGTGGAGGTAGAGTGCTCTTACGGTTTGTGTTTTCGTAAGAAGACATTTTTATTTAATGAATTTATTTCTAACAGAATTAATCCCAAGAATATATATTACGATATTTTTAAATATCATACAATTAGTTTAATCAAAAGTAGAAATTTTGTGCAATTTAGAATATTTCAGATTTATATTTCAGATATATAATTCTTCGTATTATTAAGAATTTTGAAAGAATTTGATCTAAAGATATTTTATATTTGTATATTTCGTAAATAAATTCGCTTTGAATCGATTTCTTCTTTTTTTTTTTATTTAAAGTAAATATATTCACATAATATATTCATACAATTCTTTGATATTTTGATATTTGATATTCATTATATATTGAATTATTAGAATATTGTATTACTTTTTATAAAAATTTTAAATTCAAAAAATAAAAATATATTATAATCTTGAAAAGGAAATAAAGTGTATTTAATTTGTATCTTATTTATAGTACGTGTCAAGTATAGACAAAGAAAGCAAATAATAATTTGTAAAGGATAGAGATAGAATAAAAATTGTGAAATCAGCGCCATCTCTAGAGTGGCGTAAATGAAACATATATATTGATAAAGATAGCAAATATTAGAAAAAAAAGAGAAATATGAGAATTGATCATTAGCGTCATCTTACAAGTATCAAAAGTTTCTTTAAAAGTTAAATTCAAAAAATGGCGCTAATCTTCAATTCTTATTCTATCTTATCCTGTTTTTAAAGAAATATTTTTAGCATTCGAGAGATAGCGCTAATAATCAATTCTTACTCTATCTCTATCTTTTTCTTAATATTTGTTATCCTTGCTTATTTAATTTCATTTGCTCCATTCTGGAGATGGCGCTGATTCCTGAATTTTTACTTTATCTCTATCTTTCTTCATTATTAGCTTTCCTTGTTTATATTTACTCTATAAATTAAAAAATTTATACATTTAAGAAAATCTCGGCGCTGATATTTGATTAATGTTATTGCTTAATATATTGATTAAAAATTTTAACAGAACTCAATTCAATTTTTATTTTTTTTATATTTATGTCTATTTTAAAACGAGATAAAAACTTCCATTAAATTATTATATTAAGTTTTTCCTATATTTCATCTATATAATATTTAAAAACAGGATACTGTATGCATAAAAATCTATTATAAAAAAATATAAAAAATATAAATTAGAATTATAAAATTAATTCTATATTTAATTTATATAAATATAGATATTAGACATGATAGATATTAAAAATGCAATTAAAATTTCTGTATATATAATTATTTTTCAAGTAAAATATCCTTTTAATTTTTTAATTTAGATGGAAAACCTTATATATTACATCATATAATAAATAAAAAAAAATTAACGATATAAATTATATACATGTTAATAAATATTCTTTGTTAACTATACATTAGAGTCATGCGAATATATAGAAAAACAATTCAGGATAATATCAGAAATATAGACAAATAGGTTTTCCACAACGATCGACTAATCTTCCATAACATTTTACTTTCGGTGGTGGTATCACTGGTACTGGACAACATATTGGCCGTGGATAATAACAGGGTAAATATTTAACACTAAAAAATATTTATAAAATCATCTTATATTTTTTATATTTAAATACAAATTTTTTCGATATATTTAAATAAAATTTTTTTATGTATTTTTCAAAATATTATTATTTAAATATATTTAAATAATATTTAAATATTATGTCTATAAATATTAACATACCCGTAACAAGTATATGCAATTTGAAAATGAACTGCAGAAGTGCCAGTAATAGGTGGTTGAATATTTGGACATAGCGGTTGTGTTAAAACGCTATTTTTTTTTAATGTACAAGTCGTAGGTGAACTGGGTGGATATCTTTCTAATGCTTCTTTTAGAGTTGTCATTTTATATAAAATTCAACTTTTCTATTAAATTCAAATAATAAATATCAATATCTTAAGAATACTAAAATGGTAAATTTAAAAAATTGAATTAAAATTGAAATTGAAACTAAAAATTTTGAGGTTAATTTAATTTCAAATTGAATATAATATTTTTGGTATATGAACTTTTTCACATACCAAAAAATCGATATGTAATTAATTTTCATAATAATTGAAAGGCTCATTTAAATTGTATATAATATATATATAATAAATTAAAGTATGGAAAAGTATGCTATTATAAAATATGAGATTATTATCAGATGATTTATTCTAAAATTTTAAAATAAAGGAAATATTTATATATTTATA